GCTGGGGGCTTAAGTGGAGAGGAAATGTTTTGAGAATGATGAGGGCAATGAATGTACAAATGCGCTTTACACAATTGATATATGTATGGATTGTGATAAGAGTTGTATAAGCCCCTAATAAAATGATTAAAATAAAAACACTGAAATAAATAAATAAATAAGGATTAAAAAAAAAAAAAGAACGAGTGGTGTAATTTGGATGTACTCTTCTGCCGAGGACAATTACAAACATTGGACAAAACATATTTTTAAAATCTTTGTAAAGCGTTGAAGAGATAATAAGACAATGAGGAGTTATAGGAGATAAGTTTCTGGGAACACTGAAGACCTAGAGAGATAAAACCAGAACTTGAGTAGACTTCTCATCTAGGGTATTTACATTTTCTGGGGGGATCCATTGAGATGCTAAAAAGTACTACTGACAATCATTTGGAGTTGGGGAACAGGCTTTAAGTGCAAGCTCCATTGTGAAGAGCCCATGTAGTTAAGTTAAATTCCTTAGTACAGTTCATTTATCCACATCTTTGTAGCTCCCACTAACTGACTGGGTGTGACGATGTCAATCTACCGCTCGCCTGTCAGCTTGTTGTACTGTGGTGGTTTGTGTGTTGCTATGATGCTGGAAGCGATGCAACTGGTATTTCAAACACCAGCAAGGTCATCCAAAGGGAACAGGTTTCAGCAGAGAACGGACTAAGAACAGACTGCGAAGAAAGAGCCAATTGTCCACTTCTGAGGACTTAGCCACTGAAAACCTTATGGGCAGTCTCGAACCATGCTCACACACGGAAGGCTTCATCAATAGAAACAGAACACTGTCGAAGGCCAGGAGATGAACTCCTCAGGTCAGACTCCAGCCCCAATCAAACTCACTGCCACCTAGTTGATTCTGACTGTTGATTCTCACGGTCCTCTAGTTGTGCTGCCCCTGTGGGGTTCTGAGACTCTACTTTTTATGGGATAGAAAGGCTCCTCGTTCTCCCACAAAGTCTGGTGACTTTGAGTGCTGACCTTCTGGTGTAATTACTACACTATCAGGGCTCTGGTCCTTGGGTCTTCAGGTCAGAGGGAACTCAAAATGTGACTATGGGAGAGCTTCCTTCTCAAAGTAGAATCAACACAGGACATGACTGGAGTAAAGCCCGTGGGAGTAAAACCTTTGGGACCTTCATGTGCTTATGGCTGTGACTCAAAATGAGAAGAAACAGTTGCAAAAATCTGCTAATAATGGGAACTTGGAACGTATGAAGTATCAATCTAGAAAAATTGGAAGTCAAAAGGAAATGAATGAATGATATAAAATGGAAAGCATAAAGATTGATGTCCTAGGCATTAGTGAGCTGACACGGACTGGTATTGGCCATTTTGAATCAGAAAATCGTAGTTTACTATGCTGGGAATGACACAATTAAGAAGAATGGCATTATGATATTCATTGTTAGAAGGACATTTCAAGATCTAGAAAGACAATGTTGATTGTGATAGGATAGTATATATATACATTCAAGAAATCCAATCAATACGACTATTATTCGAATTTATGTACCAACCACTAAGAAGAAATTGAGGAATTCTACCAACATCTTCAGTTAGAAATTCATCATGTGGGGGCTGGGGAGGAAAGGGAGGAAGAAGGGGTTTGATAATTGTACAGCCCCACCCGATGGGATTGAACAACAGAACTGTATGGGAAGGTAAGGGATATGTTGGAATGAATAAGGCATTTCAATAAAAATATTTTTTTGAAAAAAAAAAAAAAGAAATTTATCAAACACGCAATCAAGGTGCATTGATAATTATTGGAGGCTAGAACCCAAAAGTTGGAAACAATGAGGGAGAAACAGTAATTGGAAAATATGGTCTTGGTGATAGAAACAATGCTGGAGATCGTATGAAAGAATTTTGCAAGACCAGTGACTTGTTCATAGCAAATACTTCTTTTTATTTATTTATTTTTATTTTTATTTTTTTGCAAATACTTCTTTTTAATAACACAAAAGGCAACTATATGTGTGGATGTCTCCAGCTGGAATACACAGAACACAGACCGACTACCTCTGTGGGAAGGGACAATGGAGAAGCTCAATATCAGCAGCTCAAACAGGCCAGGGCCTGACTGCGGAACAGACCACTAATGGCTCATATATAAGTACAAGTTTAAACTGAAGAAAATTAAAACAAGTCCAAGAGAGCTAAAATATAACCTAAGTCCATCCCACCTAGAACATCTCAAGAACAGACTTTCTGCTTTGAACACTCATGACAGGAGCCCTGATGGGCTATGGGATGCCACCAAGAACATCATTTATGAAGAAAGCAAAAGGCCGTTGAAAAGGCAGTAAAGAAAGAAAAGTCCAAAGTGGATGTCAGAAACGACTCTGAAACTAGCTCTTGAACATAGAGTAACTAAGGCAAATGGAAGAAGTGATGACGTCAAGGAGCTGAATAGAAAATTTCAAAGGCCAGCTCCAGAAGACAAAACATTGCAGTGAATTGTGCAAAGACTTGTAGTTAGAAAACAAAAAAAGGAAGAATGTATATCTTAAACCGAAAGAACTCGAGAAAAAAAGTAAACCTCAGTTGTGATATTGAAAGATTCTATGGGCAAAATATTGAACAATGCAGGGAGCATCAAAAGACGATGGAAAGAATACACGGAGTCACAGAGTCACGGTGACAAAAAGAACGAGTCAACATCCCACCATTTCAGGAGTTAGCATACGAGTAAGAACTCACAGCACTGAAGGAAGAAGTTCAAGCTGCGCTGAGGTAATTAACAAAACCAAGACTCCAGGAATTGATGGAATACCAATGGAAATGCTTCCAGAAACCGATGAAGCACTGGAAGCACATACTCATCGACACATGACATTTGGAAGACAGCTACTTGGCCAACTGACTGGAAGAGTCCATATTTTTACCTATTTCAAAGAAAGGTGACCCAACAAAATGTGCCAATTATAGAAAAAAACATTGGCAGTACATACAAGCAAATTTCCCCCTGAAGATCATCCAAACAAGAGTTGCAGCACTATATTGACAGGGAGCTGCCAGGAATTCAGGCTGGATTCAGAAGACGATGCAAAAGAAAAGATATTGTTGTTGGGATCAGATGGATCATAACTGAAAGTAGAGAATACCAGAAAGATTTGCTTGTGCTTTATTGACCATGCAAAGGCATTAAACTGTATAGATCATAACAAACTATGGCTAGCCCTGGGAAGAATGAGAAGATTCCAAAATACTCCGTGCTCACGCAGAAGGTGTGCATGGACCAGGAGGCGGTTGTGTGAACAGAACAGGGAATACTGCCTGGTTTAAAATCAGGAAAGGTGTGCTCCAGGGTTGTATCTTTTAACCACAATTATTCAATCTGTATACTAAGCAAATGATCAGAAAATCTGGATGATATAAATAAGAATATGACATCAGGATCGGAGGAAGGTTTATTCACAATCGGTGATATGCAGATGACACAACCTTGCTAAAAGTGAGGAAGACTTGAAGTACTTGCTGATGACGATTGCCACCCTCAGGATGGATTACAACTTAATGTAAAGAGGATCAAAATCCTCATAACTGGCCCAATAGGTTAACGTCATGATGAGTGGAGAAAAGATGGAAGTTATCAAGGGCTTCATCTTGCTTGGATCCACAATCAATGTCCATAGAAGAGCAGTCAAGAAATCAAAGGACACATCGCATTGGGTCCATCTGCTGCACAAGACCTCTTGCAAGTGTTGAAGAGCAAGGGTGTTACTTTGAGGACTAAGCTGCCCCTGACCCAAGCCACGGGATTTTCAATGGCCTCCCTGTGCATGTGAAAGTTGGACACTGAATAAAGAAGACCAGAGAAGAATCGGTGCGTTTCGATGATGGTGCTGGTGAAGAATATTGAAGTACCACAGACAGTCAAAGGAACAAACCATTTGTCTTGGAAGAAGTACAACCAGAATGCCCCGTGAAGGCCAAACTGAGGAGGCTTCATCTCACGTATTCTGGAC